CGATGCTAATTTCATCTAACGGCTCCAATTGGACGTAAATTATATCGATCGCGGAGATTTGCTTCCCTCGTCGAGCTGTGAAAGCTACACATATTTCTTTTGTGATACGAATACATTTCCTTGCATTTTAAATCCAAAAAGGTATAAATATAATAAAAATATTTTCAAATCTAAGATAATGTATTTCTTATATAGATGAAAAAAATAAGGAACATATTTTACATTTTCGAATCTCGTAAAATAATATTCGTTTTATACTTGATACAGATATATCAAGATGTTGCCATGTCTTTCATAATTATCAATAATCAATACAATATAATATCGATTATGTGTGAAATAATGTTCTATTTATTTTTTTGAAAATTATATAAATTATCCTTTTTAAAAGAGGACAGTCCTACAATCATATATGTGATTTGACAAATATGAATACTATAGGATATTTTTACCCGGCACTAAACATCCTTTCGATTATAGCACGCATTTAAGAAATATTTTACCACACGATATCCATCGAGTAAATTTTGTTCGCATAAACGCGCGTACAAGAACCATAGTGAATATTCTTACATTCTTGTTTCTTACCGAAGCAACGATTTATCATCTATTTTACATTGCAAGTATAACCGATATCGCGCGTAGTCAATTCTATTGAGATGGCGCGGTAATCCTGATACCGAGGTACGATGCAACCTCCGCGCGAGGCAAAGTCCTTTCCCGATTCAATCCCGGGCGGCCACCCACCGGCACAAAGAATGTTTAATATCAGATTTCATGTGCGGGATCGCGTCGAGAACGGGTGGCTCGTCCCAGCGAAGTGAATGACGCTCGTCGAGCCACCCAATATCAAACGCGGCGACAGCTTTGTTTCCGCCCAGCATAAACCCCGCTGGGAATTTCGCGACGGAATGCCACACGCGGGATGTTTCTCCTAGAGGCTAGAGGTGCTCGAGCAACGAAACTCCGCCGGCGTGATTTCTCCTTTCGGATCTCCTAGGCTGGTCCTCTCTCGCGCGCAGTACGCTTGCCTCGACCGACTTTCGGAGAAATGCCCTCGCCGACGATTCACACACAAAGCGCACGTCGGGATTGCATCCGAAGAAATTTATATTCCTGCTCGCGCGCAGCGCTGGATATTCCAAAACGACTCTCGCGGAAAATTCAAGACGGGTGAGCGCGGCCGCTTCTCCGTGAAACCGACCCCCGAGATTTCTTCCCGTGAGAGAGATCTCCCCCTCTCCCTCTCGCGAAAATAAGTACGCGTTTCGTCGCGTTTTTCTTAAATTAGAATCTCGCCGCGACGTGAAGCGGATCCTGTAGAATGCCTTCGTGAATTGTTGAAATTATATTTTAAAATAATGTTTAAGCGATGCTTTTTGATTGACAGTTTAGATAACTTGGAATTGATTTCTCTTTCTCTTGATAAAAATTCAATATAAAGTCATTATTGCTACAACTTTTACATTCTTCATACAATATCTTCCCGTGAGAGAGATCTCCCCCTCTCCCTCTCGCGAAAATAAGTACGCGTTTCGTCGCGTTTTTCTTAAATTAGAATCTCGCCGCGACGTGAAGCGGATCCTGTAGAATGCCTTCGTGAATTGTTGAAATTATATTTTAAAATAATGTTTAAGCGATGCTTTTTGATTGACAGTTTAGATAACTTGGATTTGATTTCTTTCTCTTGATAAAAATTCAATATAAAGTCATTATTGCTACAACTTTTACATTCTTCATACAATATGTTATATATCGTAGTAATTAATTATTGAAATAAAATTTTATTATTGTCTATTCAAAACTAATTAAAAAATAATTTTGATATAAAAATCATCAAAAATCAAATTTATGGAGATCTAGTTAGTCGTTTTTATTCAGATTCTTTCTCAATCTTGAATCTTAGCGACTATAGCAAAAATACATTTTAAACGAAAATTGTTTTAACGATACGATTTTCATTTCAAAATTTTTTTTAATTAGTTTTATCAATTGATAATAATAAAATTTTATTTCAATAAGTAATTACTATGAAATATAACATATTATCTGGAAAATGCTACAGTTGTAGCAATAATGGCTTTATATCGAATTCTTAACACGAAGAAATTTATATTCCTGCTCGCGCGCAGCGCTGGATATTCCAAAACGACTCTCGCGGAAAATTCAAGACGGGTGAGCGCGGCCGCTTCTCCGTGAAACCGACCCCCGAGATTTCTTCCCGTGAGAGAGATCTCCCCCTCTCCCTCTCGCGAAAATAAGTACGCGTTTCGTCGCGTTTTTCTTAAATTAGAATCTCGCCGCGACGTGAAGCGGATCCTGTAGAATGCCTTCGTGAATTGTTGAAATTATATTTTAAAATAATGTTTAAGCGATGCTTTTTGATTGACAGTTTAGATAACTTGGAATTGATTTCTCTTTCTCTTGATAAAAATTCAATATAAAGTCATTATTGCTACAACTTTTACATTCTTCATACAATATGTTATATATCGTAGTAATTAATTATTGAAATAAAATTTTATTATTGTCTATTCAAAACTAATTAAAAAATAATTTTGATATAAAAATCATCAAAAATCAAATTTATGGAGATCTAGTTAGTCGTTTTTATTCAGATTCTTTCTCAATCTTGAATCTTAGCGACTATAGCAAAAATACATTTTAAACGAAAATTGTTTTAACTATACTATTTTCATTTAAAAATTTTTTTAAATTAGTTTTATCAATTGATAATAATAAAATTTTATTTCAATAAGTAATTACTATGAAATATAACATATTATCTGGAAAATGCTACAGTTGTAGCAATAATGGCTTTATATCGAATTCTTAACAAGAGAAAGGAATCGATTTCAAGTTATCTAAACTGCCAATCAAATGTCGATAATTATGAGCTCATTAGTCGATCGAGTAAACATCGCCCCCAAGAGCAAAATGTAATTTCTCTCCTCATATTCAGCATGTGCATCATCGTTTGAAATTATTCCCTGATTGCTAATGAATTGCTAATGAATTGTTAGTTGTTACCAATTAAAAATATGCCAGTTACTGCTGCATATACGAGACATTAAATCATTTGATAACTGAAATGGTGTGAGAGAACTACTATACTGCCGATGGCACGGTCATGACACGGTCGGATGTTTATTTGATTTACTAATATGCAGAACGTCAATATAAAATATACCGTAGTAGAATTCGTGATTATATGATAGTACGTTTAACATTAAATATTGTAATTAATTTTCTCTTGCAACATATGCAGTTTGCAAGAGAATCATATATTATGCTAAAATTCTGCGAAATAGAAGAGCAGAGTTTTTAGAAAGATAATCCCACCCAATCTTGCAGAAATTGCATCAAAATGAAGTTATTTTACTGCGCGTAAAACGACGAAATAGTTTTCGTAGCGCGCGTCTGCGAAAAAAATTCAAACAAGAACTTGCTGGAGAATTCCATACGCGAGTGTGCTACACAAAAAGGTTTCAGCGGCAAACTAGGAAGCTGCGCCGTTGAATCCGTGCACGTTGCTCCCGTGTGCGTGATTCTTTTCCGTTTCGGTTTCTTCCTATATATATTATTTCTTGTTCTGCCGGCCGGGCGCGTAAAGTACAATGACAGGAATGGGTGACACCGTATTCGCCGAAATAGGAACACGTCAACCCTGACGAAAATAGAATTTAAAAATCGTCTACGCGTCGAAAAGTAATAATTCAAAATACTATCATTTTTAAATAGAGAAACAAGCTAGATGTTATTTTTTTCACTTGCACAAAGTCCAAAATATTAATTTTGCAATATGAAAAATCAACATACGAATAATGGATAAAAACATTGTTATATGTTATGAGCACATGTGATATCAATGTATTCTTCGCATTAAAAGTAATCTTTATCGGTAATGCATTTCCCTCATCTCGTAATTATTTATAGCAAGATGAAACGTAATCCCTTTGCCGCTCTGACGAGAGAACGGAAAAGCGTATCATATCGTTTTTCGTTAAAGCGCATTATTAAACACCACGAGAATGACGTGTATAATTACGCTCCGAAAGAACAAACAGCGGGAGTTTAATTACGCAATTTTTGTGCACAAAACAGCCCATCGACAAAAGCGTAATATAATATGTTTATACGATGAAAGCTCCGCCGGTCTCTTTCATGCGATATCGCGATGATAATAAATGGGGAACGTTATCTCTCACGTTTACGAGCGAAGTGAACCAAACGACCCTCCCCGTAACGAACTTCTCTATATCCTCGCAGCATCCTTAGTAAAGTCATACGTCAAAGCGCATATAGGTTAATTATACGTTCCACATATGCTCCCGCGCGTCTGTCTCGCACTTACAAGTTTTGTAATCCTTAGTCCTCAAAGGCAGATCTATGCATGTATCTTACGCACGATTAGGTTAATCTCTCTATGCGTATATCAGATACTAAGTCCTCCTGTGAGAAAAGCGTGCACGGTTTCTTCAAGTTTGCGTCAACAGTATTTATTGAATTTTAAACAGCGGAAAAGAGAGAATAAATTCATTTTCTGATAATAACTATAGATATATGTATCTACATCAAAGAATTTAGAATATATAGAAAGTTTAAGTAATGGGATAAAATCTAATATAATATACATAGAGCAACATATAGCTTATAATAATATATAACAGAGATGCTAATATCGAATATAATAATAATAATAATAATAATTAATTGCAAGCGTATAATACCACGATAATTATGGATAATATTACAAAGCATTACAGTGTATCAAATTTCACCGAACGCTGCATTGGGCATTTATATTCTGTTCAGTATATGTTTAGAAAATCGTATATTTGAAAAATTAAGATATAAATATATTCGAGGATTTGTCGAGAATATATATGTAATAATTTATTAGCAAAAAAAAAATTTAATTCAATTTCGAGATTAAAAACAGACGCGCGCGACAGGAATAATTAATCTAACGAGGAAAAAATTTTTTTCTTTTTACTTAGACATAGCACACGGGAACTTTACGCCCGAGGAAGCACCGACAACCGAATCACCGATTCAGAGCGACGTCTTCGTGGAGAAGAACGGCGCTGCCGAGGGCGAGCTTCCGGTTTCGACGGCGAAACACGACGACCCCACGTATATGGCGGTCGTGATCGGCGTGCTGACCGCCGTGATACTTTCACTCGCCGTGGCGATATTTCTGATTGTCTCGCGACACAGGCAACGCAAGTGTTTCGCCAGTCCGATGACCGGTAAAGCCCCTTCGCATCTAGGCTCTACCTGCGCCACCGTCGAGAAAGGCGCGGCTTTGATGGCGTATACTCTGGAGGACGACGAAAGGTGAGAGTATTACCTGTCATTTGCTAATTAATGCAAAAATAAAGGACTGAAAAGGCCAGCTTCTAAAGTTGACGCACGGTCTTATATTATTCCAACAAAAATCTATATAAAAATAGTGAAATATAATTTCTCGCAATCTCTCAATTTTTAAGCACATTATTAGAATCTCGTTGCAATTTATTAAAATATGGATTGCTAAAATATAAAATAAAATCAAGTAATTTTAAAATAATTCTTGACATTTAAAATCATCCAACTTTCTACTTAAAATCAATATCTAATAACTTTACAATAATCAAATTTATCAATTATCGAAAATGACTGAATGAACTTTGAATGATTATTATTTATTTTCTATCGACATTCTCGACGTTCATTACGCGACTATCGATGTCTAGACAGGCAAATATAGGATCATTGGGAGGGAAGTTATCGGACACTCGCTTTTGCATCGCGAAGCGCGCTTAATGATAATACACGATTACCCGTACGCGAACCCGTATTCCTCATTTCTTCCAAGTTTGTGTTCGCTCAGGACACGCTCAGCACGATGACGGCAGCGGCCGTCCAATAAACTTTCCATCCACCGCGTGCTCGTTAGCGAACGTCCAATAACGTCCAATAACGGACATCCTCGGGCAATATATCGAGTTTGTGCGGCACGAATGTCTCCAGAGAAGATCCTCCGGTCGCCTCGTAACTCGGAAGCATCCCGCACGAGCTTCGGCATCGATCCTCTCCCTTTCCCCCGAGCTCTATGCTCGCTTTGTGCAATCCGATATTGCAGTTGCGAGCTTCGTACCAAAAGAGAACGTGTAACGTGTAACTTCAAGTAGGCGTGCGAATGTTACGCTGGGTCTTTGACGGACCGCGCACGTGTAACGCTAAAATTCACGAGTTGAAAATATGCTGCTTCTAAAAACCAGAAATTCTTACAATCCACAAAATCAAAGTTAGACCGGTATATTTTGTAAATATGCCTCTCTCTTTAAATACGATACGCGAATCATATTTAATATTATAGATTGTATTAATATAATATTACGTTTTAATGCAATTTATACGATTCGCGAGTGACACAGGATAAGTGACTAAATAATTGAATAAATAATTGACAATTTATATGATATTCAACCTCGAATCGATCCTCCTTTTTTTTTTCAGATACGCGGGCGGTTCGCTACCGACTTTGCCGCGCGATCTCGGCAATCGTCTCCTGGATATCGTGAAGCTGGACGACTACCAAGAGCCGTACCAGGCGCTAAAGTACGCACCGTACTACAGCTACAGCACCGTCGTTATGGAGATGAAAGACATGATGCTGAACAACAAAGGCACCAACATCAATCACTCAGGTATGCGGCGCTCGAACGCGCCTACACCAATATCTATACGGCACGTATTCGCGATTACGCACACACGCGAATACGCAGCACATCCTACACATACACCAAAACGCACACATTCAATCGTCGCGGCTCCTGTGCCAACGGCGGTGCACCCACATACGTCCCGGCAACAAAGCATTCGCCCTGACCGCAATCAATACACCATCCCCTTCTGCGCTCGCTCCTCCTTTGCTATATCATCCGCAGCGGTGTACGCGAACGGTGCAGTTGACACGTCGTACGATTATGCGGTACCGGAACTCGGCACGGTGCCTCTCCTCAATCAGGACGCCGGCGCCGGCCGCGGGGCTACCGTCTCCAGCGCCACCGGCGATCAGGACAGCCTCTTCTCCAAGAGCTCGCGGGCCACCAAGACCGAGGACAAGAAGGTGAGTCATTTGTATTCCCATTTTTAGCTCTTTACGAATTTAATTCCGCATTGTTTAATCTGTGTACTAATTCACGATGAATCTGTGTCGAAAAAGCCCGAAGGACCTAGGGATCTCGATGTAAATCGAAATAAAAAGAAAGATGTAATTTGTAATTTTTAAGTACGGAGAATAAAACGAGGTGGAAATCTTTATCAAACACTCTAAATCTTAATATCCTGTGACATTAAGATATACTATAGAAAGATAATAAAAAGTTATAATGATAACGAGAAAAACGAGAATATCTATCAAAAAAGCCCGGCAGACTTAAAGATCTCGATATAAATCGAAATAAAGAAATAGTTTGCAATTTTTAAATACCGGGAATATAACGAGGTAGAAATCCTTATCAAACACTTTAAATATCAATATCATGAGACTATAGAAAGTTATAACAATAACGAAAAAATCGAGAAAAGAGTTAATGAGTCGTTAAATCTCCATTATCAACGTCAATCAATTTCGATAAAAATTAAAAATTATTTATCTTTGATTTTAGACGATATTGCAAAAATATCTCTTAAACATATAATAATCTCTTATCGGTTATATTTTATATCTTTATTTAGTTGGCATAAAGTATGCAATCGTGGATATCGCAAGAATGATAAAGATCTAAAGTAATCGAAAGAGAAAGGCAACGATATTAAAATTTCATAACTAACCCCGACTGATCTTAGCCGTGCATTGTATAAATAAACAGCAAAAAAAAAAAAAAATGCGGGTCGTTGTCGCGGCATTAAACGTAACTCTCCGTGCCCTGGACGGAGATAAATTCACAATTAATAATTTAAATCAATATGGTGGAACGAGCGCGGAACATTTGGGGCGGATATACCTCCCGTGGGTACAGTATAACGTAGCTCGTATCCAGAATGCCAGAACACTGCACGAGGGCGGAAAAGAGCGCAGAAACCCCTCCGGGTCGACATGAAACACGCGAGACGATCCCCTGGGTTCTCCATCGGTATAAAAAGAATCACGGGATCGCGCGGCCGAAGGTCAATTTAAAATCGCGTGATCGATACTGACAGATGCTTTTTTTTCGTGTCGGCCGTTGATACATAACGATACCGATCAGCTGGAGATCGGCAAACATTCCGTACGGTGCAGCGAGAGCTCTTTACAAAAGGTTCGTTCGCATTTATGCACCTTTCATGTTCGGATAATAGATCGTAGAGATATCGTAGTGATCAAATTGTACATTATGGCTTCTACACGGAGAAAATATTGTAGTAAAAAATATAACATAATTTTTGTAACCGTGGAACAAATTAATATATAAGAAAAATCACGATATTTTTTTAATAAGAGAGAGAGAGAGAGAGATTATATATATACATTATATAATAATATTATATTTTTTACAAGGAGAGGAGGAATATTGTAATTATTCAAATATGTTGATGCACAAACAAATATATAATCATTAACAAACAATAAAACAAATGTATAATTTACAATTTTTATAGTAATAAATATCTTAATGTCATTATATTCCAACTTTACAATAAATAAAGTAAAAGAAAAAGTTGTAAAAGAGAATATATTTTTTTATGTAAATTGTACTGTAAAATTTTCTCCGTGTATCGTGCAATTATCTGCGTACCATTCATTGCTAGTTTATAAAAAATGTTTGATAAGAATAAAACTCATCAACAGAATAAAGTCTGCGAAAGTCATGTGTTTTATTTTGTGTGCTTACGAGTCTTATTTACAGATTTTTCCAAAACTAATACTTTTTAAATTCTATAATCTAGAATTTAAAAAAATGTTTTATATTTTCTATTTATATTTTCAAAATTCAACGTGTCAAAATCTCTTCCATTCGTCCTATTAAATAAGTATCCATAATTCTCATTGTCAGTATTTTTATAAATACTCTTTGAAACAAACATTATTTTTATAAGAGTTTATCTTTAGTATCTGTGATTAATGTATAAAAATAATATTTGTATTATATGCTAGTCGTACTACACACTATCATGTCACAAAACGGAAATAATTAACGCCGTGATCTTCGCGATCGGTTCCCGCGAGATATCATCTCTGTGGCAGGAACGACACGGGAGCTCGTAGAAAGATAATTGGAGCGAACTACCGAATGGTGATGCAAAAACGGCCGACGTGTAACCGCCCCCGCTCTGCTTAGACAATAAATCGCTATCGCGGTTCGTCCGACACGCACCGGAAATAAAGCCGGGGACTGCGACGCAGTCAACGCGGTGTCCGCGATGAAATCGATCGATCGATCGTCGTCGGCCGGCCTGCCTGTGAACCGACTCCCGTCGACAGGACGCGTCGACGGGAACCCTTTTCGCGGATACGCTGCAACCCTCGTGGAATGTATCATCATTACGCGGTCCGGCGGCTTCCGGGCCAGTTCGCTCCGTTAATTGCGGAGAGAAAGCGCGTCGCGTAATCACGTTTTCGATCACCCCGCCTCCAGCAGCGGGACGCATCCGACCAGCATCACAAAAATATTACGCGATAGGAATTGATTTCACGGTCACCCATCCCAATGTCGAGTATCACGTATCTGCGCGAGAACACATGGCTCGTACATACAAAATTTCATGATGCATTTGATAATTTTTGTTTTAAGAACCACGACGTGAAGCTCACTCCCAGTAGATTTTACAAACATAATGACATCGCGTCGGAAATATACGTTATAAACAAACGAATTTTATACGAATGGTTGTTTGCCTATTGACGCGTTTAATTTTACAGAGAACCTCAAATAAAATCACATCAATAAAATATCTCGCGAAAAAAAAAAAAAAATAGGGAGCTCTAAAAGTTTGTAACGATTTTTATTCTCTCATATTTTTTCACGAATGCAAGGAGTCGGCGCTCGTTATAGTCATACGGCAGATGATTTAGATACATTCAAAATGTATATATTTTTTTACTGAATGATATTTTTTACCGTAATAGTCTCTAGGATCGAAATTCTACACATAGAGAAGAGTACTTGATTTAAGCATTTGCCGTCCTGTTCTACGATCGATTCCCTCAAAGTCATGAATGCAAACAGCTTCTTCACCGTCGAGTGAGTCCTTTCTATGCGTCGGGATACACGTGTGTCCCGCGGATAGACACATCTGGTACCGCGGTTTGTGTACGGTTTCCGCGGCGTGAATCGAGATTGATCCGAGCACAATGCTTGGAACGGGACGCTCCGGATTCGAAAGTGCCCGTGTCTACGTCGAGACGTCTGCGCATGATTGACATCCGACAGGGCCACTCGAAACAGTCAAAACATTTCACCCCGCGTGTCGCGTCTGGCCTTGACGCATCGTAGCAACGCCAATCATCCTTCTCGGCGGATTCACTGTTATCCGTAAAACGACGATCACTCGGCAAATACACGGTACATTCGACATTATTTCTTTTCATGTCATTCTCATTTATGGTAGCATCAAGTTTTGGAACGAGATCTTTGCGATCACTTAGGTATATCCTTCTAACTGTACAATCAATATAGACATTGTCAACAATGTAAATCGCGCTGTATTTTGTGCACTCTGATTATTCGAAAAATTCGCAAGTAATATAAATTATTTAATATATCTTCCTACGTCACATTCGCCTTTAGGAAAAGGTTCATCCTGATGAAAAAAACGCGAGATGTATCGCGTCTTATCTAACATTCTACGAGACTGTCGGCTTTTACCGATCGACAATAAGTTCACGATCAATGGAAACACTTGTAAGTCGTACTACAGTTCCGTGTGCTCTCTTTCTCTCTCGTACACTCGATAATCCGCGAAACGCGAAGGCGAGGGTCGAAAGGAGGTAAAGCCGTTCGTCGAATGATGGCTGTAGATCTTGCGATACCCACGATGCGCCCCAGCGCGACTAGCGTGATCATAGATCGTTGATTATCGTCCGGATACACCGCACAATGCATTTGCGCTTTCGTGTTGCAGTCGCCGACTCAACAGGAGGTACTCTCGGCCCTGAAGAGACGTCCCACGGCATCGCCTTCGCATGCTCTCCAAGCTTGCCGAAGGGGCCTTCGGAACGGTAATGACATTGTTATTACACCCGTGAATAATAAGTATATATTTCCAATTGGTCACGAGTTTCTGAATAAAATCATGCATCGTTTGGTATCGGCGAGCCTCGACCCATACGTTGATCAATTGCAATTAATTGCTAATAATACTTCAGCTTCAAAAATTTCAAAAATATGTAACGATTAATTGCTGCGTTCATATCATCCGCATTAATACTGTTCTCTAGTTTATTTTAAGAATTATTTAGACAGACGAAAACATAAGATACGATTGCCAATTTATTAAGCTTTTAAACATTTTATCTATCTCTCGTTTTAAGCCGCATATAAAATTATTTTAATAAAATATTTATTATGTTGTTAAAACGATTTATCAGCGTTACGATTGCGCTTACGCGAATAGAAGCAAGTTGAAATGCGACGAACTATTTCGCGTAAATTCGCGATGCAACGTGTCGCTGTCTCCTCCGTCGGGACGACGATCGCGAAATCAATCCGTTTGTTGGATGTCCGGGCGATTCAACGTGCGCCGGATGCGCAACAATACGTCGATTAACGAAGTGCCTGGGACGCGTTATTCTTCCCCGACACAATGACGCCTCGTCGCGTCAGGGGTCGTCGAGGATAATCAGTTTAGGATGCGTTACAGTGGCTAATAATTCCCCTTTGTTTCCCGCACCCTTCTCCTCCTCCCGGCACCGGACGACGCATCGTTAATGACGAGGAGGATCATCGAAACGCTCGCTTCGTTTCGCGCAGTTCGCCAGTTGCCGCGTCAGAAATCCGCGCGACAGAATGCATCCGCATGCACGCGCGATTGTGCGGACTTGACGCGAGATCGGACACGTTGATCTCGACTCGATCGACATGCCAAATCAATCGTCTTCGTCCGGTGGGAAATCGTCGAATCTCTTACGCGTAATATCGCGGAAGGATACAGTAGTCGTGGTGCGTTACGCAATGTGCATACGATGACCGATTATTCTTATGTTAGTTGTCGCTGCAAGACCTATGGACTATTATCGCTAGGATTTCGACGGAATTTTTTGATGGAATTTTTTGACGGAACGTATCTTCGCGCATCATTATTCAATGAAAGGAATACACGCTTCTTTATTCTGTATCCTGAGGTAAAAAGGAAACTGTTTAAAACGCGAATCGTTTTGTCAAAACTATAATAATGTGAAAATAAAGTATCAATTTTTTTTAGCTTATATTCACTTAAATTTTTTTGTATCGCAAAAAAAAATCCTACAATCTCTTTAAAAATAACATGTCAAAGAATTTAGAAACTGCAGAGGAGAATATTAAATATTTTTTGTTAAATCTTCATCTATATGTAATTTTCTCGAAGTTGTATGTAATTATCTTTAATGTTGAAAAAAATTCTCCCAGTCTGCTCCGTGTAATTGGAAAGCTAGATGAAAGCGTACATGTATCACTGCACTCTCGTGCAGAATTATTATTATTATTATAACTTGTATAATCGGATAATATATAATATTAACAATGAACGAAGTTAGTAAAAAGCCGGCTTATGCAAAGTCACGTACGACGAGGTTCGTCAAAATCACGGCAAATTACAGAGAATTTCGGCCTTTCCTGAATTTATCCCGGTCATTTTTATGCATATACATAACGCAATTCAAACAAATTATGCACATAAAGGTATACGTGGCGGAAGCTGAAGGGATTCCGGAATACGGAACGACGACTACCCTCGGCAAGCGACTCGTCGCCGTCAAGTTTTTACTGCCGGAAGCCAGCGAGAAGGAAAAGTAAGTATACACGTCTGTCTGTATGGAAGCCGCAATTTACATTCCGTTTCGTTATAGCGACGCTCGATTGAGCGTGCATGCTTTCCTCTCTAACCCGTTTCCCCCGCATATAGGACGATAAACCTTTTAGAGTCACGTAGAGAGACGCGCTTTTTACGCGCGCTGGCCGGTTGCGATTTTATGCAGCATCCGTTGTTATCTGTCGACCGATAGATCGTGAGTTATCTTGCCTTCGTAAGCGGACAGAATCTATAGCCTGATCTAAACGATGAAGAAAAATAAGGTGCGATTTCCAGAGCGCATCGCGAGACACAAATTGATCGCAAAGCGCTAGATCAAGATATATGTTCGTATCCAACAGATTTCTTATGCATTAACCGTTCCTCGAATATATTCCGAACGCGTTTAGAAGATCAACTTGATATTACATATCTTATTGCGTATGCATTGATTGAAAGCAATACTAACAGAAAATTCTTTCATAACAACGGGATTTCGCGCATGCATGATATAAATGCAACGGAATATACGCGCGCAAAAATGTGGCGGTCGAAAGGGAAAGGAGCAGTAGACTAAATTGCACAGTCGGAAGAGGCTATCCTCGTGGGGGGCATATCAAATTTAAAGCTGAAAGACGAGCGGTCATATTAGATTTTTTTGAGCAAATGCTCGCGACATTCCGCGTCGCGGCATGGCATTCGCCGAAGAAACCCCGCGGCGACGAAACGTCCGGATACCGCCGTTCTCGGACGATCGTTCTCGCGATTATCGCGTCAGACATCAGAAAAAGGCCAGTTCGATTCCACGAATGGAACGGATTTGCATACAATGACCGGGAGAGATAGGGTATCGGGGACTTTGGCGTGCACTCCGGGCCGACATATGGGCAGACCTCGTAGTAGTAGAGATGACAAAGCTTCCTTTCGACGAGCAACGACGAAAATCGACGACCCTCTCCCATTGGATGCCGCGTCGTTCAGCACCCGTTCGCGTTTCGACAGAGATCGGCCAAAGAGAAATTTCTTCGACTCTTTGGAGCAATCTGTCGGACGTCTGCGGCGTGATGGAGAATAGCTAACAATTTGGCTGATTTTGCGTCCACATATTTATTTGCTGCCAGAAATCGCGCTATGACTATATTTCGTAAATATCCTTAATAATGCAGCCGCGTTGTGTACAAAATAATTGCATATTGCATTTTACGAAAAGTAATTAATTTCACTATCTATATATATATTATTTATCATTATGCAATAATTGCATATTGCATTTTACGAAAAGTAATTAATTTCACTATCTATTATTTATCATTATGTCTCTAGATATCTTTCATAGCTATTCTATTATCTTCGAAAGAATCAGTCTTTATGTAATCAATCCGCTTAATCAAGAATTTAACGAAACTCGTGCAAGGACTTTGATATTTTTATTAAGAGAAGAGAGATCGCGAGATTTTTAGTAATCCGCGCGGATAGAAACAATCCCTAGAGTCTCCTTTGTAATCTTTTGTATATCGGCGTGACGGAACGCAGTCTTTCCGAGGCCCGTATTTTATCTCGCGCGAACGATCCTTGTATCGCGGATTCTCGACGTCCGCTCACGCAACAAGTTTCCTATCGCGCGGATGACTTATAGTGTCTCGTGACTCCGCATGTTCACTCTTCGCGCCAAAACGAGAACAGCTGTGGAAAACTCCAAGTTTATACTTTTACACAAAAGACAAAGGACGCGTCAATTCGATATTTTTATTACTTTAATTTTATTATTTTATTATATAAATATAATTAATTTGGCGTCTCTCTTTTTTTATTACGTGCCAGCGTATTTAAGATCAATTTTTTATCGAGTGTCACATCTTGTCTATTTGCACGGTGGTTTGCAACGTCTGCTTGTCCGAGCAGACTGCGGTCGTGGAAGATCTCTGTGCGATTATAAATGAGAAGAGTACAACGAGGGATGCTCTCGCGCTCGTGCGACTGCTCATTCGGCCGCATCCGAAGAGACCGTGCTGACGACAGATAAGAAATGTTTTATGCGTCAAGCCCGGTATCGCGTGTCGCGGTGCGCGACCTGCGCTGACACTCTATTAAAAATAACGCGTCGGCTCAACGCTGCACCGGTTCATATCCGTTCGAGACGACGGGCAGATCACTTCTACGGAGTCCAAATTGCGGCGATAAAATTTCGTCATCTTCGAGAAATATCGACAGCATGGGTATAACATCCGGAAAAACACCCGTACAATTTTTTACGCATATAATTATTATTCGTATTTATTGTATCGTGTGGCATTGCTAAAAATTGTTATCGAAAAGATTAAGGGATATTCGAAGTCAAAATTAATTGACCGAAACTATCCCATATCACACGCCGAATACGCATTCGCGGTACCGTAAACGCAGCCGTTGCAATATCGGAAACATGTCGACGCAAGGGAGAGGAAATTGTACCGCGAACTTTCGGCTAATGCGACGTCATTAACTCGGCTTAGGGTCCGCGGCAACGTTAAACGGGCTATTTTGCATATAGTGGTCAACCTTGGACAGGAGGGGACCTTTCGCCCACGCTGGGCTCGGCGCGAGATGCCGCGCGACAATCGCGCGCACCAGCCAGCCAGGGATTCGAAGTTTATGGCAAATCGATACGCACAGGGCGCCGCAGTTTTGTTAACGGCCGCATTAAGCTATCACGCGAGAGTGCCATTACCAAGTCGATCGTAAGTAAGCCTGAAGTAACGATGCTGCGTGGTATAACGTCGGCCGACGCGCATATGTGCTCGCGCTCTGGAAAACGCTTCTCTTATCCGGAAATAACGTCGCGATCCAACGAACTGGACGGTAACTACGGTCGTTAACGCTGTACCAACGTCTGGACCCGCAATGCAGAAAGCGCGTCACGCGATACGAGAATCATTACGATGAGACGATCGCCGGAGACTCTTGTTACTTTAGAGCGATACGATACCAAATTTACTTTCCGCTGCCCTAACATTATACATATAAAGCGCTTTCCGCACTTGCATATTTTCAAGAATCAGTTAAAATTTGATGCATTTGGAATATTATGTAAATATAATAATTGTTAAAGTAATGCACGATGTAATCGTCACAATGATAAACACGATAATTGAAAATGCAAATGAAACACATAATCAAACTTTTTCCATTTCGTAAAATTCTCGCAGAGAAAAAGAGAATCTTAATTAATGATTAATGGTAATTCACTGTGATAATGACTCACGGAAACTGGCTTGTTCTCGAACAGATTGGACTTCCAAAGAGATGTGAGGATTCTAGCTGCTCTGGAAGATCGCAATATCGCTCGGGTTCTGGGCGCCTGTTACCGCGAGGAGCCCTACTGCGTGGTGATGGAATATCTGGAACACGGGGATCTCTGTCAGTTTCTCAAGACACACATCACTGCCGAAGACGCACATTCCATGCCGATTGGCGTCAAGACACTTAGGTAACTTTCTAGTGACATAATGTGACATTAATCGTCATTCGAATTCTAGTTTTAGGCGAGGAAGACACCTAGAACAATTTCTTCTTTCAGTTATAACGCCAATTTCTGCAATTATTAATCGACATTTAAAAATTAGTTCATTAAACATTAATTTTTTTATTTGAAATTAATTATTGGTGAGTAAATTTGAAAATTATTAATTTTTCTTTTTTTATCTTCCTACTAGAATACGATACAATACATACATACATATATATATATATCGGTTTCAATTATCTTTTTGTTGGCTTGTTATTTCATTGATATAACGAAAGAATAGTTTATTAAAACATCCATTGTCATTTTTCGAAAAAAAATGGCACGCGTGCAGAATGTTTCGTGTAACTGCCGTAGAAATTGAACGTTCCAATAAAAACAATACAATATTTTCAAAAAAATATCAAATTGGAGTACCTTTCGCGAATAAAATTGGCGGGAGGTCACCGAGCGCATACAACCGTGTTAGTAAACTATTTGAAAGCAATATCGCTTTGTCGAGAAAGGAAATATACTTGGTTAATGCAAAATAAAGGTAAATAAAGATTTTCGAACGATATTGATCTGTTCGCAATCTCACGTCAAAGCACTCGAAAGAGCTTTGCGTTTACGTAATTTGAGTTGATAGACATTATAAATTCCAATTTACACGCCGGATTTTCTCATAATATGATAAAAAACCAGTAAATGGCATTAAGTTTTGCATTGAAGATAAGTCTTGTGCTTCCCTAACATATTTAATAACGGCATCAAAACTTTGTAATTTCGCATATTGAGACTGTATGTATATTTCACTGAAGTCTCGTTAAAGATAAAGGAATATTAATGTCATTCCCCGGATACTTTCAATAATCTTGATATTGGTATTCACGATATTAAGAAAATATAAAGCATAAAAATTTGTTGTTAAATACTTTGATTAACATTGCAATTCAGAAATAATTTTTTTAAATGTCAAAATCATTTTAAAACCAACAAATAGCATCATAAGTACCGTGGCAATCGCGATTACTTTACGAAAAGGGCTAATTGCATCGTATAATTTTACTAGTTTGAAAAAAGAAAGTCTAACTGTTCATTACTTGATATTAATCGATAGCCTATTATGTAGATAACACATTGCCGGCAATGCATTATTGTAACCAGGTTTAAAGTATTCGAGATTACGGCTCTCGAAGTGCCGCAATCGTCTCTAACGAACCGGGGCTCGGTTTCATTTCCGACGAACCGCCCTCGCTAGAGTTAACACGCAATAAGTTTCCCCGGCGCGAGTTTGACGCGTTTATTAATCGTGAGCGACGCACAGTCCCCGGATTCTCGTCGACCTACACCTCGGAGGAATCTCTCCGAGGCGGCGGCGGTCGAGAGAGGATTCACAAGTGCGAATACCTTAACTTCGTCGTAGGAAACTCACGCCACTTCGTCGTCGTTTCAGTTTCAACTGTCTCATCTACATGGCGGCGCAGATCGCGTCGGGCATGCGGTATCTGGAGAACCTGAACTTCGTTCATCGGGATCTGGCTACTAGGTGAGTACAATGGGACTTTGTCGAATCGAATCTCTCTTGCGCGGATTCGCTTTCATCTCCCGAGAATAAACCTACACTCTACGGACGCGTCTTTATCATCCTCGACCGGTATTCACTCTGTATCTAAACATTCTATAACTCTCATTCCAAGTTTGCATAGAAGTACGCGATCTATACATTAAACAATTCAAACTTATAGATAAGCGAATACATTTAGACGAATATATGCATCTTATTATAATTCTGTAATATACACGTATGTATCTTAAAAATCAAGATAAATTTATACATTACATATATTTTTTTATCTCATATATTCAACAAACATTATATTTTTAATTTTCTCTGTTACAAAGCTGCAAATAATTTTGATTAGATGAGACTAAAGAATGCATCAAATATTTGGATACAGGAGTGAATAGAAAGTCCTTTTCGCTTTGATGTATATGTCAAGCAGATAAGACTACAAACAAGGGAATCTTCTCTGTCGACGCGAAGAAAATTACAAAGCTTTCGCGGTAGCAGCAATACATGCGCGCGCGCGAAGGGAGTTATAATTCACGGGGATGATCCCCTGCCGCGGAAACAGGTTGAAAAACGCAATTTCGCGCCGTGCAATTTATTGAAAAGTAATTTCAAAAAAGTCGGTCGCGAGACCACTCACGAAAGAGGTACCGACGCGGCGTAAACGTCGCGGCATGTTTTTTACGTTATTGCGGAAAGGATAAATGGATTCGCTATGGCTCTTGATTTATTTGCCGACGTAAACTCACTCACCCGTTGGATGTATTTTTCCCCGCCTCGCTTTTCGCTTCGTCGATTAACAAGACGCCGTTCGCTCTATCGGGCTTTAAATCGTCGAAAATCATCTTTCGACGGATGTGCCTTTCAATCCGATTCGAGACTATGCCGTCTGCTTTAATTGGCACAGTCTAATAACTGGCAGAGATGTTCTCTCGTCGCGTATGCGATCGTACTCGGGGGACGTGTATGTGCGAAGAGGGAGGATTTTACTACGGCGATGCACTCGTTAAAACGGGACGACGGGGCATCGATATCGATTCTCCCTGTTACACTCTCAGGATGAAATTGAATTATATCACTCCCCCC